TTTTTTTTTTTTTTGATATATAGAAAATTTTAATGACAAATAACAAGGTTGATGGAGTGAACATGTACAATTCTGCACCTATTACAGAATAATCATTCTTTTTTTTTAATGTTTATTTTTAGTTTTAGGTGGATACAATATCTTATTTTTATGTGGTGCTGAGGATCGAACCCAGTGCCCCATGAATACCAGGCTAGCATGCTACCACTTGAGCCACATCCCGAGCCCCAGAATAATCATTCTTAAGCACTCATGAATCATTTATAAAAGTTGGACTGTGTTTTAGGCACTAAATCAACAATCTGTAAATACCAAATAATTTCTTTTAATGAGGTCAGTTTCTTTTACCACCATGTAATTAAGTCAAAGAAAAATAGTAAAAATATGATTTTAAATATCTTCACATTTGAGATTTTAAAAGCATTTCATAGTCTTTTGTTCAGAACAATGAGTTAAAACCTTAGCACCACATAAAAATAAACAAACAAAATAAAGGCATTGTGTCCATGTACAACAACAACAAAAATAGAAGTAGCAGTTTATTATTTATCAAGGTAGAAGACATTTTGTCTCATATTTAAATGTAGACACTTAGGACTTATTTCTTCACTTCTTTCCATTTCAGTTTATTTACTAGTAATGTTATTTACAAGGATATATCCACTGTCCTATAATATCATCTCATTCACAATAAAATTTCTTTTGGTTTTGGGAAAAAAGAAAAAAGCATTTAATACTAATTTTAAACATTTGCTTTTAGTGTTTAAAGTTTTTTTACTGGTATTTATTAATTATAAGTAACATTAACTTTCATTTTCTGGGTCTTCTTTTTTTTTCACTATACACAATTGTAGCACAACTTTTCATTTCTCTGGTTTTTTCATTTTTCATTTTTCTCAGCTTTTCATAGCTGTCACCCATTATGTGCAGTCATACTTGTACCTAGAGTAACGACTCCATCTCATTTCCACCATCTTTCCTGCCCCCATGCTCCCTCTCCACCTCTCCCTCCCCTTTGCCCAGAGTTCATTTTCTTGCTTGTGGAAATTCAGTTCCTGTGCCATTTGTTGAAGACTGTTTATTCCTACAGAACTGTCTGTGTACGTTCATCCAAAGTCAATTAACGATGCACTTGAAGATCTCTTTGGATTTTGTTCTTTTCATCTGTTTTTAGCTAGGTGATGCCAGCTCAACTGTCTTGATTATTGTAGCTTTATAATGTAGAAATAAAATAGTGTAAGTTGTCCAATTTTCTTCTCCTCCCTCAAAGTGTAGCTATTCTAAGTCCTTTAGATTTTCACATAAGCGTTTGAATAGTTTTTTAAAATATAAAGCATTCTGAGACCAAAATGTTTCAGAATTGCTGTCTTATTGTATGGCTGTGGGTGTATTTTCTAACTCCTTTGTGCCTCCCCTTTTTCTCATTTTAAAATAGAGAGAGGGAAGTATCTGCCTACAGAATCTGCTATAAAGATCATGGAAAGTATTTGATGTAGTATAGTACTGAGTACATTATAGATGCTCAGTAAATTTATAGTTAGTTTCTTTTCTCAGCTGTCTTTCTCTTCATTATTTCAAGTTGGTTTCTAGCATCTCCAGAGCCAAATTGAAGAGAAAAGAGAACTATTTCTTCAGTATCTCAACCAGAAGTCTTGTTATTGAGTTTTATTGGCCTTAATTGACCTGAATTGGGATTGTGTATTTGTCCCTGAACTACTTACATAGGTGGGGTGGATATCTGATTGGACTGAGCCACTTTTTCCACTGTTACAACTGGAGGATAAGTCAATTTTCAAATTATATGCCTATGAAAATTGAGGGATGTAGGGGAAAGAGGACTGAATGATAGAAAGGAAACTCATAGATATTCACTACTTGTGCTCCTGTGCAAGCACACATATATGTATATAATATACTATAGTAATAATGGATAGCAGACTCCTAATGAAAAAATCATGGTTCTTTTCATTTGATTTCAGTTAATAATGGGACTTGGTACCCAGGGGGCAGAGAAGAAGAGTGCAGCATCTATTGCCTGTTTCTTGGCAGCCAATGGCGCTGACCTTAGCATTCGAAATAAGAAGGGTCAATCTCCACTTGATCTCTGTCCTGATCCAAGTCTCTGCAAAGCGTTGGCAAAGTGTCATAAAGAAAAAGTCAGGTGTGTATTATTTATTATCATAAACTTTAATATTCCATAAAGTATTATGTGGTTATATAATAGAGGAATTGAAAGTGTCTTTGTACAATTCCTGTATCCTTTTGTTGCTCCTTTCTTTCCTGAAAAGTATCTGTTATTTCATGTTGTTTTCCATGTTGTTAAGTGTACTGCTTTATGCACAGTATGTTTAAGATACTTTTCTAAAACTACTGATTTTCTAGGAATGTATGTGTTAGAAGAATTTATCTGTAAGAAAAGGTGTTCAAAGCCAGCCTCAGCAAAAAGGAGTCACTTAGCAACTCAGTGAGACCCTGTCTTTAAATAAAATACAAAATAAGGCTGGGGATGTGACTCAGTGGTGGAGTGCCCGAGTTCAATCTCCGGTACCAAAAAAATGAAAGAAAGAAAACATGTTACTAGTAAATTTTCTGTGACATTAGATATATTTAAAATTTTAATATTTTTCCAAGAGGGACAATTTATATTTTATGAACAAAATACATCTCATACTAAACTTGGTAACAATTCTAACACACCGAATAGAGCCTGACAGGCACTCAGTGAAGTATCAATGAAGGATTGAAACGGTGAACAAATAAGAGAAACCAATTCCTTGTGGAGTTTTCTCTAAAGATGATTATTTCACATTTGCCTTTTTTTCTGAAAGTAAAATATGTCAGTGATATTTTTATGATTTAAATTTTTTTCTTATGAGCTGTTGTAGATATACAAAAAGGAACACATCTCTACTGTTTTATCCTAATATTGCTATGCAATATTATTGCCCTTTATGTCCATTTCTTGTTGCTAAGAATTTCAGTGGATATCCCTTGACCTTTGTGTTCTCTTACTTCTCATAATTTATGTGTAGTGATGAAATGGCATCTCTTTGAAACCCATGCATAGAGCTGTGTTATTGGCGAATGTGATATAATGAGATATATGTATTTAAGTGTATACTTAAGGAATATTAAATTCTATTACAGAAAGATGCATCTATAGATAGATACAAGGTACTATAATAATAGTGTTTACATAAACCTAGAAACACTGTAATAACTTTTGAACAGTGGAGCCAAGGATAGAACCTGTGTGTTTTCATGAGTTTCTGAAGCTTATGGTAGAAACAGTACCTTTCTGTAGGTGTAATTAGTCACACACATGTATTTCTGTGTTTTGTATCTATATTTTTATAGATATATTTTGTCTTTCTGTAACATAATTTTATATTCCTTAAGGATAAACTTAATGAAATGTCCAAAAAGCAGCTGGAGTGTCATATTTTTTGAAGTGTTCTATAAGTTGTGGACTCTGGTAATGCCTCATCTTGTCTTTAGTTAGTATAACTAACATGGTTGCTAGTTAGAATTTTTGTTTTATTCCTAGTCCTCCTTCTGCTTTTATGTGTGTATGTGTGTATACACACAACAGATTCTGAGTATTGTTTATGTTAAAATGTTTTTTATTTCTTTGTTAGAAGATTCATCCTTTTCTATTGAGTGAGGAGGATTCATGTAGTTCGAAGTTTGAAATAGTAGTAGAAGCAGATAGAGATGTATATATAGATAAATAGATAGCAAAATACAGTATACAGGATTTCATATAAAGATATTTATATGAACACTTGATTTTTTTAAACATAAACAATTGTTTTTGCATATACTAATAGTGCTGTGGATTTTTTTTCTGAGAGAGAAAGAGAGAGAGAGAGAGAGAGAATTTTTTAATATTTATTTTTAGTTTTCGGTGGACACAACATCTTTATTTTATTTTTTTTATATGGTGCGGAGGATCGAACCCAGCGCCCCGTGCATGCCAGGCGAGTGCATTACCGCTTGAGCCACATCCCCAGCCCTACTGTGGATGTTTTAAAGACAATTAGTGAATTTGTTACTGAAATTTAAAAAAAAAACTAGTTATAGATGGACACCATACCTTCATTTTGTTTATTTATTTTTATGTTGCTAAGATCCAACCTAGTGCCTCACATGTGGTAGGCAAGCACTTTACTATTGAGCTACAACCTCACCCTGTTACTGAAATATTTTGATGGGCTTAATTTGGAATATTTTCCTTTATTAGTGGTCAAGTGGGTTCTCGAAGTCCTTCTATGATCAGTAATGATTCTGAAACCTTAGAAGAATGTATGGTGTGCTCAGATATGAAGAGAGACACTCTTTTTGGCCCTTGTGGACATATTGCAACCTGTTCTTTATGTTCTCCACGAGTCAAAAAATGCCTCATCTGTAAAGAACAAGTTCAGTCCAGGACAAAGGTAATTTTTTTTATGTAGTAGTTTATCATTTTATGAAGTTCTTTGAGACTATAAATAATAATAGAAAAGACTATCTAATATAAGATTTGTTTAATTTTGTTCTTCCAAGTAACATTTTCAAATATAAGAATGTATAATTTATACATTTATTAGAATAAGAATTTCTGAATTTATTGCTGGTTTACAGTTTTATCTTAGTTTGCCAACATAATTTATTATTTGAATGTAACTATTACTCTCAGAAAAAAATTTTAGCTCAATGTTTTTCCTTTTTTATACCTAAAGTTTTACAGTTAAAAAATATTATCTACTGTTTTTCTTCCAAAGCCCTCTGTAACCTAAAGATTTGTGTAAATCTACTTTATATTGTATACTGTGAAATTTTCAAACCTGTAGAAAAGTACGAGAACTAAAATGCCCACCCAGCAGTTTTGCTGGGTTGATTTTAAAGTGTTTGACTATAAAGAAATAGTGACCCCAAGTGGTTAAAAGGCAGTGAACATATTCATGAAAGTAAAACAAATAATAAAACTGGTATTTTGTTGGATTTGGAAGCATGGATTTTATAGCAATTAGAGAATTACAAACACATAAAAAATTAACACGGACCATTTCTGTTGAAATTGCAAAAATAAGTTTCCAAAAAATGCTAACAAGAAAAGTATGAAATAGTCATTTTCTAAACACTGCTGGAGGCTAGGAGGCCATTCTGACATATCACATGCTTTCACTTAATAATTCCACTCCTGGGAGGAAAATTATGCTTTCAAAGATTTTTTTTAATGGGAGAATGAATAAATATATGGTTGTTAAATCAATTTACTATATTATCTTAAACTCTTTAAAAACAATGTTAGATGATTCAGTGTTGGGGCTAGATTTAGAATCCAGCAATAATAGGTTCCTAACTAACCATGTTTTACTGAATTCTGTTATTACTTTATGTAAATTCTGTGTACATATTGAGGCGTAAGTTGAGAAAGTTGGGGAGGGGGCGTGTGCAAGAGTACACTTGCACATGAGTATGTGAGAATGCATGTGAGCATATGCTTGGAATTTTGGGAAGTTATAGGTGGGTGGTGGTTATCATTTTTGGAGAGTAGTTTTAAATGACACAAGAAAGAGCTAAATATGACCTTGTGTTAGAAAGAAAAAGAATAGATAGTAGATCAATGTGAAGCCAAGGGCACTAGAGATTGGGTGAGGGGAAAAAAGAAACCAGAGTCAAGGTCGTTAATAGTCACACATCAAAATTGAATTCATCTAGTAGATATGAAGAGAGGAGCTAACATTGAGAGAAATTATAGAAAGATTGGAAGACTTGTAGTTTAGGGAGAAAGAATAATCCAAAGCTTTGGGCCCCAGGCAGTATGGGAATTGACCAACTTCCAAAATAGTGTGCTTTTAGAGTTCCTTATATGTACGTAATAGAAAAATCCCTCTTGAACTTTAACAATCTGATTCATCTGGCTAGATTTTTATTAATGTTAGATATCTATCTTCTCTTATTTATTTTTATACTCTGATTTGTTCATTATCCTATCAGTTCCCTTTCAAATGTAGTTTCTGGAAAAAAATTGAAAGTCCAGCCCTTTCTTCTTGACTTCAGAGGAAATGAAGTTTTTCTACATGATTTTTTAGGTTGGGAAGGGAGACTAATGCAGAAATAGCTGTTGTTAAGGTAGAGTGCATAAATATGTGAAAATGAGCAACTAGGAAAGTAGAAGATAGAGGGGATATGTGTATTAAGGACAGAGAAATGTAATACATATTTATATCCTGTATTTGGATATAAAAGGAGTTGTTAGAGTTATTAGATTTATCTGTAGTTTTTTACTCTGTGCTTTTGCTTCTTCACTGTAGATTGAAGAATGTGTGGTATGCTCTGACAAGAAAGCAGCTGTTCTTTTTCAGCCTTGTGGACACATGTGTGCTTGTGAGAGTAAGTTGCCTGTATGAAACTTCCTCAGTTATAATTACAACAATATGAAGTGAAACAAAATTTATAGAATATATATAGAGATATATATATTCAGTCTCTATATATTCTATCAGACTGATAGAATATCAGACTATCAGCTATTTTCCTCTGCTTGGAGTAGTAGATGAGGCTGAATATACTCTGTTGTATCAGTTTGGATTTTTAAAAATAAATTTAAATTTATTTATTCTAAATTGTTATTTATGCATTTCAATTCATAGTACACATACAGAGCACAATTTTTCATGTCTCTGGTTGTATACAAGGTAGAGTCATACCATTCATGTCTTCATACATGTACTTAGGGTAATGATGTCCATCGCATTCTACTGTATTTCCTACCCCCATGCCCCCTCCTTTCCCTCCCCTTTGCCCTATCTAAATTTCTTCTATTCCTCCCATGCTCCCTGCTGCCCTCATTATGGATTAGCATCCACATATCAGAGAAAACATTTGGCATTTGGGTTTTTGGAATTGGCTTAATTCATTTAGCATAATATTCTCCAGCTCTATCCATTTACCTGCAAATGCCATGATTTTATTCTCTTTTAATGCTGAATAATATTCCATTGTTCATATGTACCACAGTTTCTTTATCCAATTCATCTAGTGAAGAGCATCTAGGTTGGTTCCACATTTTAGCTATTGTGAATTGTGCTGTTATAAACATTGATGTGGCTGTGTTCCTATAGTATGCTATTTTTAAGTCCTTTGAGTATAAACCAAAGAGCGGGATAGCTGGGTCAAATGGTGGTTCCAATCCCAGTTTTCCAAGGAATCTCCATAAATGGGATGAATTCAAACTTTCCATATTGGTTGCACCAATTTGCAATCCCATCAGCAATGTATGCGTATGCTTTTTCCCCCACGTCCTCAACAAAACTTGTTTATATTCTTAATAGCTGCCATTCTGACTGGAGTAAGATGAAATCGCAGAATAGTTTTGATTTGCATTTCTCTAATTGCTAGATATGTTGAACATTTTTTCATAGATTTGTTGATTAATTGAATATCATCTTCTGAGAATTGTGTGTTCAGTTCCTTGGCCATTTACTAATTGGGCTATTTGTTTTTTTCGGCGTTAAGTTTTTTGAGTTCTTTATATATCCTAGAGATTAGTGCTCTATCTGATGTGCGTATGGTAAAAATTTGCTACCAAAATGTTTGTTCACCTCACTGATTGTTTCTTTTGCTGAGAAGAAGCTTTTTAGTTTGAATTCATCCCATTTATTGATTCCTGATTTTATTTCTTCTGCTATAGGAGTCTTATTAAGGAAGTCGGGGCCTAATCTGACATGATGAAGATTTGGGCCTACTTTTTCTTCTGTTAGGCACAGGGTCTCTAGTTTAATTCTTAGGTCCTTGATCCACTTTGAGTTGAGTTTTGTGCATGGTGAGAGATAGGGACTTAATTTTATTTTGCTGCATATGGATTTCCAGTTTTCCCAGCACCATTTGTTGAACAGGCTATCTTCTCCAATAAATGTGTTTGGCGCCTTTGTCTAATATGAGATAACTATATTTATGTGGATTTGTCTCTGTGTCTTTACTGTTGTCTTTACTATGTGTCTTTACTATTTGTCTCTGTTCTTTACTATTGGTCTACAAGTCTATTTTGGTGCCAATACCAAGTTGTTTTGTTACTGTTGCTCTGTAGTATAATTTAAGGTCTGGTATTGTGATGCTGAGGATCGAACCCAGTGTCTTGTGCGTGCTAGGTGAGCACTTTACCACTGAACCACAATCCCAGCCCCTTATTAATGTTTTAAGTGTAAAATTTAATAGAAATAAGTAGCAAAAGTAATATTTTAATGGATGCTTTTCCTTGTAAGACATGTTTGTGTTACTAATTTGCAGATTGTGCTAGCCTAATGAAAAAGTGTGTACAGTGTCGGGCAGTAGTTGAACGGAGAGTGCCTTTCATTATGTGCTGTGGAGGAAAAAGTTCAGAAGATGCCACTGATGATATCTGTAAGTGAATTTTCTTAAAGCATTTTCTTATTTGCTTTCTTGTTGGGATTTGCTTGAATATCTCTCCCCATTTATTTATTTTATTTATTTTTTAACAATTTTTAAAAAATATTTTCTAGTTGTTGACGTACCTTTATTTTTCATTTATTTATATGTGGTGCTGAGGATTGAACCCGGTGCCTCACACATGCTAGACAAGTGCTCTGCCACTGAGCCACAACCCCAGCCTCACTCTCCCCATTTTTAATACATTGTTGCTTTATGAAAAATAAGCTAAGTGAGTTGGATCCACACAGCGGGACCAGTATAGTTTTCTGGTGCTTTCGTTATAATTTTGAGATTATAGATTATAGACCTTAATATATATGTCTTTTGACGATCCTCATGTGTGGTATAAAGAATATTGTATTCTTGCTTAAAGAATATCAGCAGTAGAGCGTTTGCCTGGCACATGAGAGATCCTGGGTTCCATCCTCAGCACCACATAAAAATAAATAAAATAAAGGTATTGTGCCCAACTACAATGAAAAAACTTTTTTTAAAAAAAATGAATATTTGCTCTCTATTTTTAAGATAAAATTTTGGGTGATGCTGGAGGGCGGGAAATCCAGGGCTTTGTGCATGCTAACTACATGCTGTTCCATTGAGGTACACATGAACCCAATTTAGTGTATCTTGAGGGGAAACATCATATTACAAGTTACTTCTTCAGTTTGCAAAAATATAAACCTAGTTTCTTTTTGTTGAAGGTCTCCAAGTTTATTTAAGTTGTTTGTATTTTATGGAATAGTAGGAATGCTAAACTGTAACATAGCAAACAAGTAGAAAGATGAAAAATAATTACTTTTTAAATTTGATTTTGTCATACTAGGATTGAACCCAGCCAGGGCCTTATGCATGTGGGGCAAGTATTCTACCACTGAACTACGTCCCCAATCATTACCTTCAGCCTTTTAAATAATACAGCTGTTTAAAATTATTTTTTGTCTTTTAGCCAGATGGTTTCTTTGTTATATAAATGTGTTTTTGAACAGATGAGAAAAAACATTATTGTACTCACTTCTGTCCAAAGCTTTTGTCTTTTTTCACAAATAGAGCAGAATAAAAATCCCAGGGATGACCAGGAGTAAAAAGACCAAGAATACAGAGAATAGGAAACATGAAATTAAGGATTTCCCTTTATTTTTGCAGTCTACTGATAAAGGCCTTTCTTGAGTTCCTCATTTCAGATCAGTAACAAGAAGCAAATTTGGACATAAAGAAAGGCGTTTTTTGTGTGTCTTCATAAAAATAATCTGAGAGACTTTAATTAGGACTGCCAAAACTGCTACCTGCTTTTTTGAGTTCTGTGGTATAGGAGCAGAGAAAATAAGCATGAAATATATTTGTGAACTTCCAAACAAAGCAGGAAGAGCCTTGGAAAACCTAGAAGTCTGTGGATTGTTGTCTAACAGTGTTAAATAAAATTAGAAATTAATGTGCAAGACAGTATTTTTGAAGCTTAAAGAATGTGACTATTGTATCTATTGTCCAAGCATGAAAAATTTTTTAAAGATTCTTATATATAGTCTTGTTTTTAAATAAACAAAATAGTAATAATTTTAGAAATATCATTTTATGTTAAAACAGGAATAACTAAAATTTTTTTATCTCTGTTATAGCAAGCGGGAATATTCCAGTATTACAAAAGGACAAGGATAATACCAATGTCAATGCAGATGTGCAAAAGTTGCAGCAACAGTTACAGGACATTAAGGAGCAGGTAATGATTTTGTTATGTTGAACAGTAGTTCTCATATGCTATGTGATATTTTTTGGTAAAAGTAGTTGAATTTTCTCTAGATAGCATAGTTTAAAGTATTGTATTACTTGTAGCATTTGAATATTTGTAATGAATAGTGTCAGAGCAGGAGATTTAGCCAGGTATTTTTCCAAAGTAGAAAACATGTAAATGACTAATAAATATGGGAAAAAAATGCTCAACCACATTACTAACTAGGAAAACCACAGTGAGGGACCTTTTCAAATCTGTTAGAGTGGGGAAAGTCCAATCTAACAAAGAATGTATAGTAGCCATAACTCTTACACTGCTGGTCGAATATGAATTAATAAAAACACTTTGGAAGACAGTTTGTCATTGCCTAACAAAACTGAACAGGAAGAAAAACTTGTTTAGGAAGAAAAACTTGGAAAAAATCATATATGAGGCATTTAAAGTTAAGGGTAGTGGTTTTTCTTGACTGGAGGCACAAGGGAAGTTTCTAGAGCCAGTTACCTGAGTTTTATCACTTTGTGAGCTTTTATGATTTATATATATATTTGTGTATATGTGATACATTGATAGAAAGGAAAGAGAGAGAGAGTGAGTATTTGCATAGTAAAGCAAATGCAAAATTCAGAATGGTGGTTATCAATAAATGGTGGATGGAAGGGATTGAGGAAGTTGTTGAAGGGGTTTCAAAAGTGAGAATAGCATTCTATACTTTAAACTCACTTTTGGTTATATTGTTTTTAATATCTTATACATATCAACAAAGGAGTATATCTACTCAATATTTAACCAAATCAACAAGAGAAAGAAACTGGCTGAAATTTGGAGGTATGAGGTACATAAGAAAGCAAGTCCTTTTTTTTGGCCCGGCCTTAACTGTTCATTCAGTTTTTTGCTGCTGTGACTAAAAGGTCTGACCAGAAAAATTTTAGAGAAGAAAAGTTTATTTGAGGGCCCACAGTTTCAGAGGTCTTAGTCCATAGAAGGCTGACTCTATTCCTAGGGGATTAAGGTGAGGCTGAACATCATGGCAGAAGACTGTGGTGGGAGGGAAGCGTCTCACATGGTGATCAGAAAGCAGAGACTCCATTCTCCAGAGACAAAATATATATCCCATAGCCACACTCCCAGTGAACCACTCCCTCCTGCTATACCCCACCTCTATCCAGGTACCACTCAGTTAATCCCATTAGGAATTAATTCACTGATTAGGTTAATTAATTCACTGAATTAATTAATTTGATGAAAAAGTTATAACCCAATCATTTCTCCTCTAAACCTTCTTGCATTGTCTTTACACATGAGCTTTTGGAGGACACCACATCTAAACCATAATGCTTACCATTTGACCCAACAGCTTATTCTGATTCAAAGGTTTGAGCAGCAAAAATGTTCTTTCTGTGATTTAGCATTACATCAGTATAACCATGCAGTTATAACTCAGTGAGTTCACTTTCTGAATTTATAAGAAAGTAACGTAGTCATAGATAGTAACCCAAGATAATGAATCACCACTGGTAACTAGTTTAGAATTGACTATAATGTATTTATTAGGCATTTAAACACCCATATGAAAAGATGAAAACTTTGATTGCATTCATTTTCTTTTTTTAAATCCCATACTTAGCAGTTGTTATATAGTAAGTAAGTAAAGATAAATAGGGTTTTAAAGGTTCTTAAGTAGATCGAAACATATCTGACTCATTCTAATACAAAATAAAACGTTTTAAAGAATTCTGAAGCTTCTAACATCTCCATTTTTTTCTCATTTCACTTAAAGTTGATCTTTTTCTTCTATGAAAAGCATTTTATCTTAGTATGAATTTAAATTTTGTGGATTTTTTGTTTGTTTGTTTGTTTTGTTTTGCAGTGCTAGGGATTGAGACTATGATCTAACATATGCTAGGCAAGTTCTCTACCACTGAGCTACATCCCTAGCCTTTTACATTGAATAATGAAACTTTTTTTTTTCCTTTTACTAATTTATACATTTTATTGGAATAAAAGGTGAAAGATTTATGTTGTCTGAAGAGAAACCAGAGTATTATATGCACTGATGAGACTTAACTGAATTCTCTTATGGATCCTAAAAGAATAAATTCAGCTCTACTCTTTTTAGTGGTGCTGGGGATGAAACCGGGCATTGCACATTGCTAAGTAAGTGCTCTGGTTGAGCTATAGCCCCAGCCTTCAGTACTACTTACATCCAAAGTTTAGCACCCCAAAACAAGTTTATTCTTTCTTAAAAATCCATATAATCATATTTTATCACCTTAGTATTTAAGTAGTTTTAATCAAACTAATTTTCTGAGAAATGTTGGGATTTCTTGGAGGAACACCTATTAAGGTTAATTAGGAAAACCAAAGAAAACATCTGAGTAACTCTCTTCACTTAAATATCTCCTCTTTCTATTACCACCTTGTCTCTTTAACAGGCAAAAACTAATTTCAGTTGTAATTAAGAAAGTATTCATATTAGCTAGGCATGGTGGCACATGCCTATAACTCCAGCAACTTGGAAAGCTGAGGCAGGAGGATCCCAAGTTTGAGGCTAGCTTCAGCAATTTAGTGAAATCCTCTCTCAGAATAAAAATATAAAAAGGACTTGGGATGTCTGATAACATAGCTCAGTAATAAGGTACTCCTGAGTTTAATCCCAGTACCAAAAAGAAAAAGGATATTAATATTAAAGCAATAGCACAGGCTACATAGATATATTTACTTTTAGAAATAAGAGGAGTTATTAATTATTTAGAATTCCAGAAAATTTAATGAAAATGAAACTGTTTTAATGATGTGAAAAAGGTGGTTTGGCTTTTTCAAAATCCAAAAGGATGTGATTTTTCTCTAGCTTTGCTTTTAGATGTAACAGTTTGCTTGGAGGAGTGTGGTAAACAATTTAAACCACAAGTCTTTTTTTTTTTTAAATTAATCTCTGGTATTGTCAAAGTTGGTAACTACATTGCCGTATAAGCTTCAAACCTATATGTCTTTTTTTTTTAATAGTTATTTTTTGTTGTAGTTGGGCACAATACCTTTATTTTAATGTGGTGCTGAGGATAGAACTCAGGGCCTCACACGTGGTAGGTGAGTGCTCTACTGCTGAGCCACAACCCCAGCCCCTTATATGTCTTTTAATCTAGACATTTTTGCTTATGTATTTTTTTTCTGTTATTAGGGAAAAGATATAATTCAGAATGAAGTGTAGTATTAAGGTAAAATTTGTTATAAGATTAAATATGTTTTTGTGTATAAATATGACTTCCTAGAATATTTTCACATAAGTATACCTAACAAACTAAATTCTTCAAGTATGAAGTTTATTAATATGTAGCTAAGGGTAATTATTTTTAACTTAAGGAATTTGCATTGCTAGTAGAACAGTATAGCACATTTTAAGAGTAAGAGCTCTGGGGCTATGTAATCTGAGTTTACATTCTGGCATACTGCTTGCCTTGAGGAAGGTTTGAACCCCATTAAGCTTTAGTTTCCTTGGTTTTTTTTTTTTTTTTTTTTTAAACACAGGAGTGATGATAGTACTGAGATTGTATGGTATCTAGCCTCATTCTGGCAAGTGTTCATCTCTACACTGCTCCCACCCTCCAATACACCTGATATGTGGTAGTGTTTTTGTGCAAGAGCAGCTGAGTAGGACTGTTTTCATCCATTTCCTTTGTATTTTGTTTTATATTTAGTATTTACTTTATGTAGTACTTTGTATATTATCTCAATAGAACAACCAGTATTTATATTTTATAGGGATAACATTTTAAATTTTTAAAAAGCAACAAAATTATTTGAAACAACAACAAAAAAATTAATGATATAATGGAATTGTCACATAGTACATTTTAAAATACAAAATGTCTCAGCATTTATTATTTTATTATCTCACATTACAGACAATGTGCCCTGTGTGTTTGGATCGTCTGAAGAATATGATTTTCCTCTGTGGCCACGGAACATGCCAGCTCTGTGGAGACCGAATGAGTGAATGTCCAATTTGTCGCAAGGCTATTGAACGAAGGATTCTTTTGTACTGACTAAGAAACACAGAGTGTTTTGTTAGCTAAAGTATGTGGTCATGGGATCTTTGTAGGCTTTTAACCTAGTTGGAAGTTCTAATGAAGTAATTTTTCATATCATAGTTTCTTTACTAGAGTACAATTTGCCTATCAATGTACTAGAAGAACAAAACTCTTCAGTTTTGATATCATGATTTTTGTTTATTTTTGTTTTCTTCTTCTTTTAAACTGGAAACATTAAATCCATGATAATTCATAGGTAATTTCCTTTTAAGTTCTAAGGGGAAAATCCTTTAAGGATCTCCTTTTATTTTTCTTTTTATTGCATTTTCTCTTTATAAATTTGTTAAACTCAAAAAATGTATTTCCATGTACATTTGTATCTTTCAGTTTATTATGATTTTATACAATGAAATGGCATGGGTACTCTGAGATGTAATGCATCAAGTGAAAACAGCAAGTCAAATTATTATGTCACATGTTAAATGATAAAATTATACTACAAATTCCACATGATTAAGGGACTATTGAAGAGAAGATTCTGTTTTTAAGATAATGAGAAGTTATCCAAATGTTTGTTTCTGAAATCTTAGTATCATTGGAAGCATAGATTAAGAGAATATTGACTCTGCATTTACCTTGTTTTCCAAATTTAAAAGGAAAACTGAATCAGATTACAGTTTTAAACAATCATAGTGAAGAACTGAAGAGGGGGGCAATAAAAAAGTACCTATTAACTGACCATTAACAGTTGCATTTCTAATATAAATTTATGCAGTCAGCCATTTAAAAATACCTGTGAAAAGTGTACTTCAGTTTTCCCTGTGATTACTTATCTGGGCTTGATCTAAACAGTGCAATGATATAGCCCCATTTGGGCCTCTGAGGTTCTATTCAGCTTGAATTCCTTGTCCAAAGGCAGCAATTTTTTTCCTCTCTATATCTATTCTGACAGTATTACTGATTTTATCTTCATCAAAGGCCTTACTTCCATTATTCTCTCTCAAATAGTAACTCCTTCTATAATGAAAACAGTTTCTTTATATCTACAGATGAAGATATTATTTAAACTGCCAACAATATCCAAGATACAGTAAATAACTTAATAACTGATACTTGTTTAGAAAGAGTACCCAGACATTTATAGAAATATGTCTGATTGCTTGTATAATATTCGGGGGGGGGTGCACACTTGACTCTAGAGCTTCTAATTGTTTTCTCTCCTTTGAATGAGTGATCTTTTGTATCTAGGGTAAATATATACACAAATGTTTTGGGGTTCCTTGCTGCTAGATTATTAAAAAAAATCAGCTGTTTACAATAATACCTACTATGTACTGTGTATAAGCATACTTCTAAGTATAGTGGATTTTTTTTTGTAGTTTTTTTCGCCCTTTAAATCTGGCTAGCTTTTCTTATTTCTGTTTTTCTTCTGTAACACCTGAATGTGAAAATATGAAGTGTCTAGCCCTCAAAGCACTGTTACTGGCTGTTTAATTATTAGCTGGCTTGCTTATGGGATTGTCTTAGCAATCCCATATCTGTGTTTAGCTGAGTAATCTTTATTATTTTGAATAGTAAAGTTTTTATAAATTTCAAATTTGAAACTTTATGTTGACTATTCAGTTATCTAGAAAGGGGCCACTGAGACTATTTTTAAAGCATATTTTGAGCTTCGTTTTTTAAAAAGATGATGTTCACATAGGGAGACAGACTTATTGCAAATTTGAAAAAAGCAGAAGTAGGGATTTTTCTTTTCTTCCAATCCATAGACTACCCATATTTCCACTAGGTCAGCAGGTAAGAAGGGAGCACCTGGCTGACTCTTGTAATTTGGCCAATCTGAGAACTGTGGAAAGGCTTAGTTGTTTTTCATTGAAGACTCTTTTGTCTTCTGAAGCTGCAGTGCTAAAATTTATATCCCTAAAAGGCAATATCATCTTCCAAGCTAATTTAATTATTTCCATCATATGAGAAATTGTTTTCTATTATAGAAGTTACAAAGTGACTATAAACTTCAGTGCTAAATACTTGCAGACTTTATCTGTATCACTTTGAAGTTTGTTTAATAAATAGAAAATGTTTTTCTTCATGTTTTCAAGCACCTAAAAATTAACGTTTTTGAGTTTGTGAGAGAGAATAAGATTAAGAATTTAATCATTTAAGTGACTTTTCTCCAACTCACTGAAACTGCTACCTCTTATATGTCTTTCAGCAGTACTTTGCCAATTAGATGTTTCCTTCTCATTATGTAAACCTTTTTTATCCTGTGTTTAAAAGAACTGTTTTCCTAGAATCATTAAAAAAAAAAACCATGCATTTATTTAAAAACTGTATTTATTGAGCTTCAGGGGCTAGATACACAATGTTGGAAAAAAAAGGGAGGGGTCAGCCTCTTAGCACTCTCAGAATTTATTGTGTGGCAGTTGTATATTTGAAGTCCTATCTGTAGAGGAAAGAAAGAAATCCAAAGGCACTGATAGCATTGCTTCCTAATGTTTTAGAAAACTTGTCAGTGAGTAATATTTGGATTCCCTTTCTATGCCCCCTCACCCTCCCACATTTTCTTCTTTATTCTTCTAAGACTGTCAGCTCTGTTACTCCAGACACACACAACTTACCAGATGGTGCTATCCTAATTGTATGTATTCACATCATTTAACATTTTTACTTATACTGTATACATATTTAATTTTGTCAGGAGAAAGATGTCAAGAAAAGATAATTTTGTATTAGTGAAGGAACTTTATTAGACAAGTGTTTAGCTGGACAAATTATGCTTGAAATATTTTTAATTTTAAACATTGCGAATTAACCAGTTAGCTATTTGAAGCATACAATTAATTGATAGATAATATTGCAAATAACTTTGTCATATTTTTTAATGGCTTTAGCCATTAAGAGCATGCTAGCATATTGAAATGTTTGTTGCTTAAGATTTGTCCAGTTCAAATTTCAAAGCTTGCTGGGTCATTTTTAATGCACTAGAAACATCCTGCCTAGTTATGTGTTGCTTAATTGCTGTTCTTTGTTTATTCTGAATTCTGGACCCTTTTTGGACTAGGAGTTAATTAAACTTAAAAAAACGAAGAGAACAGAAATGAGTCAGGGCATTGGGGTTGCAAAATGTGGGAAACAGAAAAGTCAATGTTTGAGTGTAGAAGAAAAAAAGAGGATCATGTAGATTTCATCAAAGCATTAGTGAAGAGAATATGCTTAATTGAAGAACAAAATGGGTCTCTTAAAATCATTTAGTTTAGTTTAATCGACAATTGTTTTGTAAATTATAGACTTTAACAGCTTGCTTTTTTTAATTCAAAAGGAAAAGCACTTATCCTCTCAGTGTCTAAAAGTGTTTTATAGTAATAATTTGTATAAAAATTGAATTTTGGAATAGACTTTTTGCATTTTTTTATTGTGGTAAAAAACATAAAATTTGCCATCTTAACTATTTCTAAGTGTACAGTTCAGTACTGTTAAATACATTCACATTGTTGTGAAACAGATCTCTAGAATTTTATCTTTGTAAAACTGAAATGTTTTACCCAGTAAACAACTCCTCTTTTCTTTCACTCCACTGTGGAATGGAATTTTGACCACGTATAAATTCAACACCTGATTTATTTAGTAGTTAGTGTTTGCACACTCTGAAGTCATGGTAAACGTCAAGTCTCTAAAATTTGGGGCAATAGCATTTCTCTCCCTCTGCCCCAATTGTTATTAATAATAATTGGGTAGGTTTTAAATGCTTGTTTATTGAAAGAGTTTGTTGTTTCATTTTGAGTCAAAGGGGGAGAAACATACGTTAAGTATCACAACTAGGTAAACTTGGAATTTGTAGCAAATTGGGGGGAGGTAATAGACTTTCACAAATTATGTGTGCCTTGTTGAAAATGTCCATTGTCTTTAAATTTACCATCAAAGTTTCAGAATATGTTTTTCTCTCAAAAACGTAACCTAATTTTACTTGCTTGAATATTATGATAGGAATGCTTACTGATATTACTTGATAATATATATCCTTGGAACTTTAACACACACATATATATCAATGGCAGTATTAATGATTCCACTTGTACTTTAAAACATTAAATTTGAGGAAACTTTAATGTCTTGTGTATAGTGCTTTACTACAGTGAGGGGGGAAATTCTTTAGATTGAGCTTCAATGTACTGATAAATGGTTAGTAGTGGGTTAAACTGTAGTATAAATGTAAACTAGATGGTGGAGCTGATGCATTAAAATTGTAAGTTGCATTTTCTACCTCCTTTTCTGTCAGAGTATTACTTTTTCCGTCATTTTTTCTTATGTGTGGTAAAGAGGAAATGAGAACCTGAGATTAAAATTGAGATTTTTATTTTGTTGGGAACTTAAGTGGTAGGGACAGGAGAAGTGACTTGTCACGTTAATTTGGTGCCTGAATCCATAACTATAAGATAATTGGTGTGTACAAAATGTCTTAAGATAATATTGCTGAATATTTTAATTTTCCTGTATAGTCTCTTGATTTGTTTCATAAACATGACTTCTTTCCTCCAAAAAAAAATCTTATAATTTTTATAAAATAAATAAGTGTGCCATTTTGTTTGAGATATAATTTCAGGAAGCTATTGAAAGTTCTGACTCAGGGCTTTTTAACAGTTTAAGCAATTGTTAGTTTTTTGGAAACTCCATCTACATAATTCTTCAGTGCCTTGAAAGAATTATTAACTTGGCAACACTATTAAACTTTATAGAAGATGGTCTCTAGTACACGTGTGACATTATATACACGTTTAAAAGTCATACTACTTAATCTTGTGTCATAGCGATACTGCACATGTGCTGGGTTTGCATAATTCTTTAAAGGAAGTTTTCTAGATTTGCACTTGATATTTGTTTTTTTTAATATACTGATAATTTATGGCCATGACACTGTTACCAGAAAAATGTTTCTATGTTGTCATTATGCAAAGTGATCTACAAGTAATTTCTGGGAAGAGAGTGAGAGAGAAAGCTTACACAGTTTGCTGTTTAGTATTAATGGAGGATAAGTTTGGGAAACACAGATTGTGTTCCCCTCAAACGAAACAAAACAAAAAAAAAATGATACCATTTAAAAATATTTTTAAAGGAAATTATGAATTGCATGTCATTCTTCATTATAGTCTTAGAGACTAAATCCACAAAATTGTTTTTCTATGTTCAGTATGCTTGTGTCTTTCTAAATGCATTCTAATCAGTGATAGAAAACGGTTTTAGTAGTGTTTTGCTCTGTATTCATTATTTAGCTTTCAATATTGGATTAGGTTAAAAATCTTATTTGTGGATGTAGTTATGTATGGCAAAGGATTCTTGCTTACTATCTTTTGTTAAAAAATGCTAATAATGAGAGCTAAGCTTTTAAAAACAAATGCAGACATTTACCATGAATAAAACCTGTGGTGTAATATCATATAATGCTTTTCTCTGATTTTTAAAAACTATTCTTTATAGTAATATACATGAATTTTTATTTTTAAGGCATTTGAAAACAAATCTCAATACATCAAAAAAATCTATTATTGTTGGAAAGGAAATTACCATATCTTTGAGAGACAAGGACATTCATCTCCAACTCAATATAAGAAGTAAGCATCCACATCTAGAAGGCTCCCATTGCAATTGTTTACATTTCAGGTACCTCTATCTAAGGGCCAAAGAAACTTTCATACTTTAACACCTCCACACTCTTTCAGGATAAAAGTGTGTTGTGAAAATAGTCTGAATAGGATAAACTTCATAAAAAGTAAATCAAGTCAGGAAGACTCAGCTTTTCTTTTTAAAAAACCATCTTATTCCTCTTCACAACTCAGATGTAGATTTCATTTTCAAGGTAGACATTTTAGAGCAATGATTTCTTTGACTTTTATAGTGTTTTGTGACTGTATAAGTCATTGAATGGTTTAGGGGGTTATTTTTGCAAGTTAATATAAGCACTTATTTGTAGGTTGAGAGGTTGTCTAGTTCTAGTTCAAAAGATGTCCATCTCAGATGTTTAAGAGAAAAACCATCTAAACAAAATATTTTGTTTATTTGAAAAAAATCTGTATTTCACCTTTAAAATTATATTTTGGATAACCTTTAAGTGTATTTTTTGTTTATTCTGTTGCTGTATAATTAGATATTTCATGCTGATATGTCTTTTAATTTGAAACTGTATAATAGCTTTTTGAAATAAAGAAATTTTAGAAAATCTGCTTTATATTTATCATTGACAATTATTCATCCTTCACAGAGGTTAAAATTACTTGATAGTTGTATAGTATGGTATTTTCCAAACTTAACGTTTAAATAATGTATTGTGGAGCAAGAATAAGTAGGAATTTATAATAAGGAATAAATGGATTAAAATAGAATACCAAAATTGATCTCTCGGGTAAATTTCTGAAGAATGGTCATTTGGCTAACAGTTTCTCCCTTTATTAAAAAAAAAAAAACCTAGTTGATAAAATTCATTTTTCTTTTATTAAAGACAAAAATTATAGGCATAATATAAAAATACAAGACTAGATCTGTAACACAGATCATCAGTTGCTGAGTGGATGACATGCCAAGGGGACCATTAGGCAATGCTGCTTCTGCATGATGCTCTAGTCAGATGTAACGAATTGATACTTTAGATACTCCTTCATGCTAGGTTCTTCATTCATAGCTATGACAGCTTTCTCAAAGAGTTTTCAAAACAATATAAATTATTTTTATTTTTTATATATTTTAGAGTATGGCCCTCCTTTCCTAGCTCTCGTCTTTCTTTCCACAAAACACTAATTAATCATGAGTACAACATTGACAAACATTTGTAACTAACCCTAATTTGATAAAGAGAAACAACAAGTAAGAGTCTTGGCCTGTTTACAGACTCAATATGGATAAATTTGAAAGGTTCTAAGGAGGGCCTCACATACTTGAACAGAACTCACCATCAATCAACTGGATCTAATTGGCATCTACAAAATAATTCATCCAGTGACATCAAAATACACACAACTCTCAAGTTCACATAGAACCTTCACCACAAATTTTAGTGAATTTTAAAAGATTAGAAATCATAATATTCTCACAGACTACAATGGAATTAAATTAGAAATCAACAACAGAAGGAAAGGACAGCTGGAAAACCCCCAAGTACTTGGAGAAGTTTTACAATACTTGGGCCAAAGAAAAGAGAAATTTTAAAATACTTTGAGTTAAATGAATATACAAACTATCAAAATTTGTGGAAGGTGCCGGTAATGCCAGCTGTTTGGGAAGCTGAAGCAGGAGTACTCAAGTTGGAGGCTAGCCACTGCAACTTAGTAAGATCCTGTCTTAAAAAATAAATAGGTCTGGGATGTAGCTCAGTGCAACAGCTCCCATGGGTTCTATCCCCAGTATCACCAAAAAAAAAAAAAAAACAACCCTAAACGCTAAATTGCAGGATGCAGCAAAAATTCAGCCCCTTGGAGACAAATTTGTAACATTAATTATCTTACATCTTTTCTAAAGTAAACAATCTGAACTTCCACTTCAAAAAGAACAAACTTCAGTCCAAGTAGTCAGAAGAAAAGAAATAAAATCAGAGCAGAAATCAATAAAATTGAAAACAGGAAATACAGAAAATCAAAGAGCTGAAAGCTTGTTCTTTGAAAAAAATCAAAATTTTAAACTTCTAGCTAGCTTAACTAAGAAAAACAGGCATAAATTACTGAAATCAGAAGTGAAACATGCTCATTATAGGTTATATAATGATTATATAATTATATAGATTATATCATTTTTCTTTTATTAAGGACAAAAAAATTATAGGCATAATATAAAAATACAGGACTGGATCTGTAACAGAGATTCCATCCCTACATATTAGACAACTTAGATGAAATGGACCAATTTTTTGAAAGATGCATTACACACAAGGAGAAATAGATAATCTGAATATCAAAGAAATTGAATCCATAATAACTGTGTGTGTGTGTGTGTGTGTGTGTGAGAGAGAGAGAGAGACAGAGACAGAGACAGAGACAGAGACAGAGACTGGAGATTTAACCAAAGAAGACTTTGTTAGGCAGGTTACGTAGGTGCTCTATCTACCATTGAGCTTTATGTCTAGCCCAATGATGAATCTTACAAAACAGAAAGCAGCAGGACCAGATGAGTTTATTATTGAATTCTATGAAACATTGAAGGAAGAAATTATACCAATTATCTACAATCTGTCTTCCAGAAAATAGAAGCAGAAGGAATACTTCATGAGTTGTTCTATGAAGCTAATATCTCCCTAAACCAGATAAAGACCTTACAAGAGTGGAAAATTATAAGTCAATGCCTCTCATGAGTATAAATGTAAAACTTCTCAATGATATTGGCAAACTAAACCAGCAATGTATAAACAGGTATATATAAAACCCACAACCAAGAAATTCATTTCAGGCATGCCAGACTGGATCAACATTTGAAAGTTAATGTGTTTCATCGCAATAAGAAGCTGAAGAAGAAAAAAATATGACCATATTAATAGAATAAGAAAAAAACCTTTGACAAAATCCCCCGTCATAAATTCTCAGCAAACTAAAAATAGAGGGGAACCTCTTTAATTTGATAATTCACAAAAACCCTATGTAGTTAACATTATACTTGCTTTTTCCCTAAGACTGGGAATAAGGTAAGAATGTCGTCTTTCACCATTCTTATTCAGCATTGCACTGAAGTCCTAGCAATGTAATAAGAAAAGGAAATAAAAGGTATATATATTGGGAAGGAAGAAATAAAATTATTTTTTTCTACATGGGTTTCTATGTAGAAAATCTTGAAGAATCAAAAAAAAGCGGGGGGGTCCTAAAACTAATAGTAAGTTTGCAAGATGCAAGGGTAATAAACAAAAGTCAACTGCTGTACTATATACCAGAAGTGAAAGATTTTGAAATTAAAGACAATAACATTTATGCTAGCACCAAAAAAATTCTAAAACCCTAGGGTATAAATCTAACAAGATGTAGAGGATCTAGAAGAGGAAAACTATAAAACTGATGGAAAAAAAAAAGATTTTATGTTACTAGGTAGGAAGACTCAGTATTGTAAAATGTCAGTTTTCCCCAACTTGGTCTATGAATTCTTGCAATCTTAATAAAATTCCCAGCAAATTGTTTTGTAGAGATTGACAAACTGATACAAAAGTTTATATGGAAAAGGAAAGATCTCATAATAGTCAACACAATGCCAAAGAACAAAGTTGGAGGACTGACACTACCTGACTTAAGGACTTAAAATATAAAGCAGTCGAAAACAGTTTGATATTGATTAAAGTATGGACAATTCAGTGGAATAAAATAGCCCAAAACCAGAGCTACACAAATAGAATAAACAGGTCTTTGATAAAGGAATGAAGGCATTGAAATGAAGGAAGAACAGTCTTTGAGAAATGGTGCTAGAACAGCGGGATATTCAAATGAAAAAAACAAAACCAATACAGGCCTTATACTTTCCAAAACAAGTCAAAATGGATCATAGATTTAAAAGTGAAATTATAAGCTATAAAACTTCTTGAAGATAACAGAGGAGAACAGCTAGGAGAATTTGGGTCTGGTTATGTGTTTTTTAGATAAAATACTGAAAGCATGATCTAGGAAAGAAAAGACTAATAAGGTAGACTTCATTAAAACTAAAAGTTCTGTTTGTGAAAGACATCATTAAGAAAGTGAAAAGGTAAGCGACAGACTTGGAGAAGATGTTTGCAAAACATACTTGCTGAAGAACTTGTATCCAAAATAAACAAAGAAAACAACCCAATTTACAAACGAGCAAAAGATCTGGACTCTTTACTAGAAAAGATATGAATATGACAAACATGAAAAGATGCTCAGCATCATATATAATTAGAGATTGCTATTTAAAACAACATTGAGGTGGTACCATTTATTAGAATGGCTAAAATTAAACAACAACAATAACAACAACAAAAACCCTGACAATACCACATGGTGAAAAGGAAGTAGAGCAACAGGAACTCTTAATTTGTTGTTAATGGAGTACAAAATGGTGCTGCCACTTTGGGAAATAAAAATTTGACAGTTTCTTATAAAAGTAATTATTATCATATGATCCAGGAATTATTTGCCCAAATAAGTTGAAAACTTATGTCCACACATAGAACCAGCACATGAATGTTTAAAGCAGTTTTATTTATAATTGCTAAAACCTGAAAGTAACATGATCCTCAATAGGTGAATGGGTTAAACCAGACTGTGGTAAATCTACATAATGGAACATGATTGGAAATAAAAAGAAGTGAGCTATCAGGTTATAAAAAGACACGGAAGAACACTAAATATATATTGTTAAAGACACCAGGCTAAAAGGTTATAAACTGTATGATTCTGACTAACGAAATACTGGAAAAGGCTTAACAGTGAAAAAAGACCAGTGGTTGCCAAAAGTTCA